ATGGTAATGCACTCCAAGCCGCAGCTTGGGGTGGTCATGAGAAGGTAGTGCAGATGCTCCTTGAGCGAGATGCGGACCCTTACACTCAAGGAGGATACTACGATAATGCACTCTTTGTCGCATCAAGGGGTGGCCGTGAGAAGATAGTGCAGATGCTTCTCAACAAAAATGCCGACCCTAATGCTCAAGGAGGATACTACGGCAATGCACTTCAAGCCGCATCTTTAGGTGGTTATGAGAAAGTGGTGCGGATACTCCTCGAGCGAGGAGCGGACCCTAATGCTGAAGGAGGAGAGTGTGGCAATGCACTGCAAGCCGCATCTTTGCGAGGTCATGAAAGAGTGGTGCAGATACTTCTCGAGCGAGGAGCGGACCCTAATGCTGAAGGAGAAGCTATCAATGGCACCGCTGGCAACGTGACGAACTAGATGAAGCATTAGACTACAGCAGTATCAGGAATACTATGATACGGGTATGTCGCTTAGTCATACTCAGATTAGAAGATACACTATGCCTAATTAGTAACAGTCTATCTTCTAATCTGAGCATGACTAAGCGACATATTTGTGTCACAGTATTCCCAATACCCCGCGAATACCAAAAAGGCAAACCAGTAAAAGCACCCGCATCGTTCCGGCAGTTCCCGTACTCCGCACGCCACGTATTAGCGAGGCCTGAGTGCGCCGCTTAGCCTACGAAAGTAGTGGGCACATCAGCCACTCAAGACGCTGGTGGTTTATGATGTTCGTAATCAGCGACCACCGTTTCGTGGGCTAAGGTTAACTCGTAAGGTAACCACTGTTGGCGCCTAGACGCGCAACATAATCCACATCCCGGTGTGGTGAAACGCCCTCTGTGGTGGAATGGACTACGGGTACTTCAGAGGCTATCGCTCCGTACTCGCCACCTAGCATATCGAGCAACTACTGCTGGGTTTCTTTTCATGTTTGGAAGCCATTCCGCTATTTGATATATGGGGTTAAGGTCCAAATTACCAATGTTTAGTTTTGTGCGGGCGCGATTTCCATGATCATCTTAGAATGGGCGAAATCCTTTCCATTCCTCTAGAGGCTTCAACGCCTACTTTTCTGACTCTTCAGTATTAAAAAAATGGAATAGTAATGTGCGTATGTCATGGGCCGATTATCACAGCAAAAATAAGGCTGTTCACTTTCTGCGTTGCAGTGTCGTGCCGAAGAGGATCCCTGTCAAGTACTTCTACGTATGTTACCCTATGACCGAATCAAGTATGGGTAGTTGTAAATCACAAGTAACACAATAGCCACACCCAGCTACCCACTCGCCAGCCACAGGGCTCAGCCGCTTCAGCATCCATTAAGTCGCCGAGGTCGCACGTGACATTTAACTGCAGCCTGTTTGACCCTTCTAGGCAACCGCAAAGGCTGAACACCTGGCAGCTGCTTAAACTCTCTGCTCCCACTGCAACTTACTGTAACAGCAAATCCCATTCTGTGTTTCTCCTTCAGTTTCATGAACTTAACCGCTAGCCTGTTGCCGAGACCTTACGTTCTAGAAAGCCTCCGTTACGTTCTCACGATGTCTGCAACCTATATTTTCACGACTTCGCCTTGGTCCAAAGAAGCGATATCACTCGGTAGTATTGTGCCAGACAGACGATGCCCAAACGAGGACATCATCAAAGGCGCCGTGACCGAGGAGGATGTTTCAGTCACTGTCAATAACAACTTCAAGGGCGTTATAGATAATGGATCGCAGACAATCCTGCGAGGAACGATCGCTGCACTTTGGTTGACGATTTGCTCGATCTTCTGGAAGGTGGAATCCACAGGCAGCTTTGAAATCTCAGCAAAAGAGGCGCGCTTATACTCCCTTTCACAGCCAACGGCAATCTTCCAGAAGCTTTGCGAACTAGACCATGTTCGCAAGTTTTTCCAAGATTGCCATCGACAGGAAATCACGCCGGCATTCGTCACTGGCTATCGAACCCTTACTGACGCGAAATTATTGCAGAAAGGCCAGAGTGTGTCAACTGCTTCTGGTAGTGGCGATGTTAAGACTGGCGGCATCGGCAATGATCCCAGTGATGCAGTGAGATCCACCGTACAAGTAGGCCGAGAGATGAATGACGGTCGTTGCCTTGAATACCAAACAAAAGGGGAGGCGGTCTTTGCAATCAACTTCCGCAAGATTCTCATCAAAGTCCGCAAAAGCGAACTGGTACCCTCACTTGAGCGCCAAACCCCGACTAGCTGGCTTATTTTCTCCAATGTCAGAGGAAAGCAAGTCGGGGAGGCAGAAGTGATTCAGGTCTCCCTCGATACGAGTGGCGTTGTTAAGGAAAGTGTCTTGGTGTTTGAAGATGCCGACGGGTCATTTTTATCTCTATCTAAGAGAGATTTACTTCGGGACGACGACGATGACGACGAAGACGACAATGACGAGGAATAAGAGAGTACTGGCCCAATTGGAACGCAACGAATTATATTCACGGATTACCTCGACATACTGAGGTGGGAAAAGTAATTGGTTTTTCCTAACTACGTCCATAAATGCAATTTGGTCAACCGCTTTAACATCCGAAATGGACGAAGGGTGCCCAACCAAGCACATCTCGATTGACTGTGCGCTTTCCCACCATCCTTTGGGTATTTACCGAATCATGCAGGGCCCTGGCAATTGCGGCATCATCGCCATCACTCTCAGAGATTTTCTTTGCGAAGGCGTCCGAGAGAGCATTTACGATGTCATCGTCGACCGCCCACAATGAGCCGATGACATGAGGGAACCCGGCAAGCTGAAATCCGCTGACAATGTGGAGCATTTCGTCGGTTAGATGTTCGTCCCCGTTTTTGGCTGTGTAGCAAGCCAGGAGACATGCCATTTTCGCAGATTCGGTACTGTGTCTAGCGAGATCTCGAAATGTCAGGCGCTCCGGCTTGAAGTCAAGGCCTTGCTTGAGCAAGAGACCGCTGTTGGCAGGATCGTTTTGATCTACCTCCCCGTGACAAGCGAAATACACCATGCTGGCCTTGCTCAACTTGTTTAGAACCTGGGATTTCGAGGGTATTTCAAGAATTTCTAGATCTGGTCTGCCTGCACTCGTTAGACGGGCTCTGATTGCTTCAACATCTCTCGACGTTTTGAGCTTGCTAGCGTAGCCATCAGTCTCTGGCATATTGACCATCAAAGGACTTTTCCCATGCAAATGGACATGGTAGCTTCTTCGGCGTGCCTGAGCGAGTGCTTTAATTGTGGGGATGTAGGAGGAAACTACGTAGCTGTATGTGTTTTCGTTCTCATTGTCTGGAAGTCCTGCCGCATGTAGAGGGGCGAGTCCCAGTAAGCCGCTAGTAACCCACCAGATTCGTGGCAGATGATCAGAAGGACTGCGAGAAAGAAGTTTTAACTCATGGAGAACTGGGTGGACGGCATGAATCCAGAGCCATTTCAGAAACTTGCGTAAATCCTTGTTGCGGGATCTTAATGTAGATATTGGTCCTTCGGTAATCGCTTTTGGTCCATTCAAGAGTTCTGTATATTTCTTCAAGTCTTCATATCGAACTCCCGGAAGTCTGATAGCCTTGACCTCTCCTGACGTCACAATAAATGCGTCACATCGAATGCCCGATGCATTGAACGCGACGATCGGCCCAAGCTCTGCTAGTTTTTGAAACTGCTGCGGACTATTGAGCTGGTAAGGTGTGATTCCGAACTCGGTTTCGATGCGCTTTTCTAGTTGCGCTTTCTCTTCCTGATGTTTCATGATAGCCAGAATTGTGCTGCTTGTATCTAGTTCTTGCTCCGCTGGGGTGTTTTGAATCGGTGCTTCCAAAGAGACTAAATTGCGTAAAGTCACGTACTCGCGATAGAGTTCTGGGCTTTTCTCCTTCAGTTCCGCTAGATCAGCTCGCCGGTCCATAGATACATTGAGAATGCAACCACGACCCTTTTCTAGAACTCGCAATGCTTCCCATGGCTCGCCATTGGCTTCTAAAGTGAGCGCTGCTGCAACTGTAGAGAGTCCGCCATATGCTTTGAGAATAAATTGCTGATCGTCTCGACTCAAGATCTGGCTGTTGAGCTCCTCGAGAATGTTGACTGCAGAAACGAAAGTCTTGCGAGCTTCGGTTGTATCTCCTCTCGAGATATGCGCTTTGCCTGCAAATATCGCAGCGAAGATCTTGGTCGCTAATGGCGGGCCAGATAGAGACATTGCCTCTTTGTACAACCGAATACTGGCTTCCAATCTGGAGTCGATGCCGGTAGCTTCGAACCCTCTCTCCAAAGCAGATGCCAATTGGATGAGCACATCAGCTTGTTGCTCTGGATGTCCATTGACCGCAACTGCCGCCTTTTCGGACAGGTGAAAAGCCGTGATCAGATCACTCCATTCCAGAAACCTGTCATATCTCTCCAGATAAACTTTCGCCAGCCCATTCAAAATTTGCCCGTAGCTAGTGTGCCCGGGAGGAGCTAATCGGACGGCTCGGTGATGGTGTTTGAGTGACTTAACCAGGTCTACTTCACTATTCTTGCCAGAACGCCAGAACCGTTCAAGGTGCCGTCTGCCCAAATTGAATGATAAGCTTGCACAAAGTGACCGATCCTCAGGTTTGAGTGCTACTGCTTCGCTTAGGCAGCGCATTGCTTCGTCTAAGCTGTCACTGTTAGACGCGCGAATGGATTCTAACCCTAGTAGATTCGAATGGGCAAATAGCACTTTGACCCATTCCGAGGTGGTTCTTGCGGTTGTCCTTCCGGCGTTAATGATCGTTTTGGAAAACCGAAGGCCTTCTTCCAGATATCGCAGCTCACGTCCTAGTTCGTACAACTGTCCGTAAATGGTGACAAGCAGATCAAGACAATCTTCATAGTGTTTGTCCTCTTTCCGCATTGCTCTGAGCGCCATAACTGTTGATTCCAATGCCAGTTCAAGGTCTTCGTCTTGCTTTCTGTAGCAAAATCTTCTTTGATGCATGCCAGCAGAGTAGTAGAGCGTCCAAGTCCATTCTTTACTTTTCTCCTCCAATAGTGATGTCACTTTATTGTTGACTTCGATGGCTGGATCCAGATACTTTCGATCCCCATTCTCCGGCCTGGTCGCGATGCTTTGGAGTTTTTCAGCCAGCTTCAACATGATCTCTGGCAGTTTCTGGATATTGATGCTTACAAGCTGTTGTAACTCCTCATGTACTTGCTGGATGTAGTTGTCCGGTAGCAGAGAGAATTGCCTGGCTGCCTTTCCTGGATCTTCCCAGAACATGGCTGCCGTAGGACCGATAATGCACTGTGCTCCCTCCACTGCTTCTTTCACTTGAGCTTGATTGCCAGAGTGTTTCCCGGAATGAAATAGTGCCCGTGCACGGAGAAAGAGCACCCGTTTGAACTGATATTCTTGCATAGAAGAGAGCTGAGCTCGAAGTTCCGCGACAGATGCAATATAAGGGGTCGTAGTTGCCGCCATTAGAACAAAATTCAGCAATACCGATATCGATGCTTCTCGGATCGGAAAGCGTGCGAGGAGGAACCCTTGGGCTTGATTTCTTGCGCACTATGGGCTTGCGCAGGGAAGGGAACGGCAAGCATGCGACGGCAAGTGAGGGAGGAAGAATGGTGTGATGCTAAGCGATGGGTTGAGGACGGCCAGTGAAGGGAGGGCGACAATTGTGGCGTGGCATTGACGATGGAAGCAGCGGCGAGCGTCGCCGAGGGATGGAGGGATGGAGGGACGGTCTGGCCGGAGCCACAAAGCCTTTGAATCTGGTCGTTTGCCTCTTCTTCACCTGACGTATCGCGGACGTTATCGCTATGTGAGGCAGCACGGCCTGGAAAGTCGCATGTGAGCTCGCCGCAGTTTTCACCCGTCTTTAAGCGCGAAGTGACAACTCGCGAGAAACAGAGATCACGTGAGGACCAGTTCTCTTGCCGTTAAGGTGGCAGGGGGTTTTCGGCAGCTTCTGTGGCTGATTGTGGCTGATTGTGGCTTTTCTTTTACCGGTCATTTACGCACGGCTTACCAGCCTCGAAAAACAGAATGTCGTTAGCGCCATTAATTATTGGGTGAAATGTTAGAGTGAACTATAACATGTCTGGCTAAAATAGTCCCACTTGTTCCTTAGCCTTTCACCGAAGAAGGTCGTAGTGTCTCTAGAAAGGGGAGGGCGGTTTCGGGAACGACTGTATGTGATTCTGGTTGTACTAGCACTGACGGTGGTGGTGGTAGCGTTGAGCCTTTGGCCTGTGCCGCGAATTGGGCCCATGATGTTCGTACGGTCTTGACTTCACTGAAATTTGCCGAGTTGAGTGGTGTAGTACCTAGTCCTATGGAGCTCTTGACAGCCGTGACGTCTCTCTGAATGGTCTGGATGTCTTTTGCCGCGTCTTGGATGTGATGGAGCACCTCCCCCACGGATGGCTGCAGCAGCACTTTACCAATGAGCGCGAGGGTGGATTCGATGTAACTTTAGACTATGTGCCATGGAATCTGATTGGTTCTGCCTTTATCCGCTGCCTGCAGTTGGTTGCACGCTTCTCTAAGGTATGTGGCATGCTCGTTGATGTGTTCGGGGCCATTGTTTACCTGCGGCTATCTAGGCGCCATTACCACGAAAACACGCGTTTTTGTTAGACACAGCCTTGTGGAAGACCGACTACAAGTTGTACGAGCGCGGCTCACCACATTCATTGGACACCTAGAAGGAGCCACGAGAGAACAAGGCTGAGACACGTGACATGCCCTGTTAGCTCTGTTGGCTCTGCCGGCTCTGTCAACAGAGCGCACAGAGCGCATAGAGCGCATAGAGCGCAAGCATTATATATACACCCTCACTACCCTAGATAGTTGCACTCTCCTCGTAGCTAACTCATATTATCTACTGGACTATACAGTTCTTAGTAACAGAGAACCCTACTCATACATTGTGTCTTCCCCAACCAGCTCATGCTATTCTAGGATTGTTGCTAAGAACCCTAACCCAGTTAGGATCAGTAGGGATCCTTAACACTTTGGCTACCACCCCCGTTACGGAAGGCAACCTATATAAGTAGACCGAACCGACCCACCTCACTCATAGACGAACTCACGCAACGTACCGCACGACTATCACTTAACGATAGCACAATGTCGACAACCTCGAGTACACCAAGACTAACACTAAGCACCCCAAGAACTACGGCCAGTGCACCACCACCGGCGTATAGAATAAGTATAGTAAGCTCATCAAGAGACGTGCTATTAACAGTTAGTAAAGGGAAGATTAGTAATCCATCTAAGCCCTTCAACGGCGTAGAGTCTAAGCTTATATCCTTTATTCACTATATAAATATGTATATTCTAATGAACCTCACTAACTTTTAGAACGACTTATAGAAGATCCTTTTTATGGGAAGCTATTTTAAAGAAGATACTAAGATATAGCTTAGACTCTTCATTAAGAACTATATAAAGAACGAACGAGACGATAGGGAAGACGAAACTATTAATCTATTCGAGATATTTATAGAGTTTAAGGAAACGATGAAGCTAGTGTTTAGAGTAAAGAATAAGGAAAAGAAAGCCTAAAAGAAAATAGTAGACCTCCGATAAACGAAATTAGTTTAAGAATACGCGATAAAATTCAGAACACTAAATATAGCTCTAGGATGGCAGAATAATATTATTATTCCGATCTTTAGGGAAGAACTAAAATCGAAGATTAAGTAGAAGCTACGACACCTTAAAAAGACTACCCTAGAAGACTGAATCGCTACCGCTATTAAAGAAGACAACGATATTAAGAAATACCGATAATAAGAACCCTACAACCCTAGAAAAATATAAGCTACGAAGGCCTAATAAGTAAATATCTAGAAAAGACGTAAACCGTACTATAAATCTTAACCTATAGATCTAAGCTAGGCGTAGAAACGGCGAAATAACCTTAGAAAGAATAAACTAAAGAAACCTTCCGGGAAAAAGAAAGAGATCATCTACTATAGCTGCGGGAAACTAGAACACTACGTAAAGAAATGTAAACAGAAGAAGAAGTAGGTCGCTACCGTAGAAAAGTAACTAAAGTAGGAGAAAGTCGCTAAAATAGCCCTAGAAGCTAATATGGCTAAAGGAGGATACGTACGCCCAGGCGACTCCGTGGACCAAGGGAAAGCGATTATCACGGGAATTACTGCTAATAAGATCTATATTCGAACTAAGTACTGAATAAGGAAACTATGCTTCGATCTCTACTATTTACGCCGAATTACGGAACATAATTACACGGTGTACGAACTAGATGAACTATTAGTAGATATAGAGACAACCTTTAGAATTTATATATATCGAAGTTAAGAATATTTATGAACTAATACTTATCTAGATTTTATATACGCCCACTAAGGAGGAAATCCATAAGGATAACTACTAACCTAGATTTCTTCCGATGATACGACGCCACTCGAATATAATATAGCTAACTCTAAATATAATTTAGACCCTAATTATATTAGAGAGAACTAAACATAGGAACCTAAAGAATTCTTCACGAAGAAAGAGATTAGGTAACTAATTCGAGAGGCCACTAAACGAGTCACAGCAACGATAGCGTAAACGGAATAAATTATCCGCGAAGTAAGGGAGACTATAGATTAAGAAGAGGTCTTCTTACGATTCCTCACCGAAAGAAATATCTTAGATATCGCTAGAATAACGAGACTTCTAGAAGAAGAGGTTCGCGAACGAATTAACTATATAAGAATTATGGACCGAGTAGAAGCCGGGGTATAGGTAACTATACGTATATATCGAGAACGAGGAGTTCTAGTCCTACGATACATCGAAACTTTACCCAACGTACTTATCGCCGGGCTATTTCCTTATAACCGCGTTCATAGTTGTCTACTCCGATTAATTCCACATCTCTACGAGCAGTATCTCGACTATTTACAGCCCGAGAAGCTAGGCATAACGGTCGTTAAAGTATAATAAGCCCACACCGAGTTAATCCAACGTTATGACGATCATAACTACGACGTATTATAATCTTAAGGTAAAAGAATAGATTACCTTCACTAACTAAAAAACTAGGTTAGTGGGAGGATAAGGGGCACCTACATCACCGAAAGTATACCCCTAGAAAACGTTAGCGCTAGAAGATTAATAGTAAAGACGTATATCTAGTTAGAACTAAAGAAGAAAGACGAAAGTTAAAACTCGAAGTAAATGCGGCCATAAGGTCTAACGCTAGGGCTATATTTCTTAGAGAAATACTTAAAGACTAAGAAGTTAGTATTTTAATAAATTTAGAGTGTATAGGGAACCTCGTATATATAAGGGTAGTAGAGAAGCTATAAGGCTAGAAAATTCTAAGGCCAGAATCTAACTTAATTACTGAATTCGATGGAATAATCATAACATAACTTACGCACGAGCTGAAAGCAGTGTAACTGACGATCGATGATCACCAGGAAAGGCTAAATCTTAACATCATAAATATAAAATACGATATAGTCCTTAGAATGCTATAGCTAAAATATTATAACCCTATTATCGACTAAGCTAAATCCTAGGTGCGGTTCGATAACTGCGACTACGATAATAAAACCCTAGAAATAGAAATGAGAGCGGCATAAACCCACGTAAAGAAAACGATCTAGGTGCGACCAGCACGGGTTTTTAACAACGCGACTATGGAATGTCTACTATAATACGTATACTTAAAATTAGTGTTCGAGAAAAAGATAGAAATTAATACACTACTAGAATATAAGCCATAGGACCATGAGATTCACTTATAGAAGAGAAAACAATCTATATTCGGATCCCTCTACTCTTTATCGAAGAAAGAGTAAGTCGCTCTACGAGAATATCTTAAAGAAAACATAGCTAAAGGCTATATCCGATCATCGGAATTAGAAGTAGAATATCCGATTCTATTCGCTCCAAAGAAAGATGGAAAACTCCGATTATATGTGAACTATCGAAAGCTTAACGACATTACCATTAAGAATATCTACCCGCTACCACGAATCGATGAGCTATAAGACCGGCTAAGAGGCGCTAGATACTTTACGGTACTCGATATTCGAGACGCGTACTACCGTATACGTATAAAAGAAGGCGAAGAGTAGAAAACGACTTTCAGAACTCGATATGGACTATTCGAGTATTGTGTGATGTTATTTAGACTCACCAACGCCCTAGCAACGTTCCAGGCACTAATTAATAATATATTGAGAAAATATCTTAATATATTCTATGTCGTATACTTAGATAATATACTAATCTACTCTAAGACTTATAAGGAATATATGGAATACGTAACGAAGGTACTAAAGGCCCTTTAGGAATACTAGTTACCGGTTAAGCTGGAAAAGTATGAATTCTATAAAGATAGTGTTAAATTCTTAGAATATATAGTCACCCGAGAAGAACTTAAGATGAATCCCGATAAGATTAAAAGTGTATTAGAATAATTAGAACTAACTACA